TGAAGATCAAAGGCTGTAGCCTTCAGAATGGATTAAACCTCAACATAAACCAAAATCCCAAACCAAAACCATTGTCATAAAGTTGATTCCGACTCATAGTGATCCTATAGGACAGAGTAGAATTGCCCCCACAGAGTTTCCAACATGATAAATACTTATGGAAGCAGACTGCTTCACCTTTCTCTCATGGAGTGGCTGGTGGATTCAAACCACTGACCTCTTGGTTAGCAGCCATATGCTTTAACCACTATACCACAGAGCTCCTTCCTCATCATAAAACAAAAATCCTCACAACTGGACCAATAAGCAACATCATAATAAATGGAAAAAGATTGAAGTTGTCAAAGATTTCATTTTACTTGGATCCACAATCAACATTCATGGAAGCAGCAGTCAAGAAATCAAACGACTATTGCATTGGGCAAATCTGCTGCAAAATACTTATTTAAAGTGTTAAAAAGCAAAGGTGTCACTTTGAGGACTAAGGTGTGCTTGATTCAAGCCATGGTATTTTCAATCACCTCATATGCATGCAAAAGCTGGGCAGTGAATAAGGAAGACCAGAGAATTGCTGCTTTTGAATTACGATGTTGGTGAAGAATGTTGGCAATACTATGGACTTCCAAGAGAATGAACAAGTCTGTCTTGGAAGAAGATAGCTGGAATGCTCCTTAGAAGGGAGGATGGCAAGACTTTGTCTCATATACTTTGGCCATGTCATCAGAAGGGACCAGTCACTGGAGAAGGACATCGTACTTGGTAAAGTAGAGGGTCAGTGAAATAGAGGAAGACCTTCAATGAAATGGCTGCAACAATGGGCTCAAACATAGCAAAGATTGTGAGGATGGCTCAGGATAAGGCAGTGTTTTGTTCTCTTGTGCAAAGGAGCCAACTTGATGGCACCTAACAACAACAACAACAAGTTATCTCTCAGGAAATAAAATTACTTTGGGTAAAGTTAAATTCTTTACTCCATACTCTGCCTCTTCCAGAAGCCCTCCAGCCCTGCTACCTGGTAGCCTCATGCCTTTCAGGGCTGCCCCAAGAGCCTATCCACAGCCAGGTTGATCTGCCCCCTCCAAGGAGTTCCATTCAGCAGCAGTTTCATCTCCTCCTTTCCCCAGTGCCTAGGGCCAGGGCTGCTCTCCCAGGATGGGGCTGGAGTAGGAGGAGGCTGGAGCTGACTGGCCAGTCGGAAAATGGGTTGTTTCATCAGGTAAACTGCCTTGGAAGAAGACCTGTGGTCTTGACTCCTTGCTTGGCTACTGACTCAGGAAATCCCTCTTCTGTGCCTCAGTTTCTCTTCCTGCCAAATAGATGAATTATCCTCATCCACTCTCCTGCCCACAGACTGAGGAAGAGGCTTGGTATATTGTTTTTCTTGAGGAAATCTTACTGTTATAAATTGAAATTGTGTCCCCAAAAACATGTGCTGTAAATCCTAAGCCCTATACCTGTGGCTGAAGGAGTTCCAGTGGCGCAGTGCCCACGGCACTGCTAACCAGAAGGTTGATGGTTCAAACCCACCAGCTGCTCCATGGAAGGAAGATTGGGCAATCTACTTCCGTACAGCTTTATGGCCTCAGAAACCCAGTGGGGGTCATTATGAGTCAGAATGGCAATGAGTTTGGTTTGTTTGGTTATTGCTGTGGCTAAAGAACCCTGATGGGGTAGTGATTATGTGGTCGGCTGCTAACTGAAATGTTGGTGGTTGAAACCTACCAGCTGCTCCCCAGGAGAAAGATGAGGCAGTCTGCTTCCATAAAGATTGCAGCCTTGCAAACCCTATGGGGCAGTTCTACTCTGTCCTATAAGGTTGTTATGAGTCGGAATGGACACAGATGGCAATGCGCCTGGTCAGTGTACCCGTGGTTATAGTCCCATTTGGGGATGGGTTTTTTAAATTATGTTAATGAGGCAGTATTTGTGTTGAGTGTGCCTTAAATTAATCTGTTTTGAGATATAAAAACAGATTAAGCAAGCAAGTACAAACTGAAGGGGAAGATACACACCACCGAATGATCTCCAAGGAACCTAGAAACAGAAGTTGAAAAGAGACAAGGACCTTCCCCTGGAGTGGACAGAGAGAGTCTTTCTCTAGAGCCAGTGTCCTAAATTTAGCCTTCTAAACTGCGAGAAAATTAATTTCTGTTAGTTAAAGTCACTCCCTTGCGGTATTTCTGTTATAGCAGCACTAGATAATGAAGACATGTACCTTCAAAATACAGTATCTTTATTATAGACATTTATGGAAAACAATAGCAGTAGCAATTGATTGACTTAATTACAATAGGTAAGAAGACAGAAAAAAGTGGGAGACAGGGCCTAAGGGCCTGCATTGCTTATTTCCCAAGGCCCCAAGTGTTTCTAGACCCACTCTGGAAACTATGGAGGTAAATATCTCCACCACCAGTGCACCAAGTCAAAAAACAAGCCCGAATGGCAGTTACTAATTGCAGCATGGAATCCCTGAGTGGTGTAAATGAGCTTGATTGCTGACTAAATGGTTGGAGGTTGGAGTTCACCCAGATGCATCTTGGAAGAAAGGCCTGATGATCTTCTTTTGAAAAATAAGCCATTGAAAACACTATGAAGCACAGTTCTGCTCTGATACACACGGCATCAATTTGAGTCAGAGTTGAGTAGATGGTATCTGGTTAATTGCACCACAAGTGAAGATAGCAAGCTGAGAAAGGACTATGTCTCTCCTGCTAGTGAGTAAGGATGTCCCTGGGTGGCGTAAACAGTTTGTGATAGACTAAACTGAAGGTTAGCAGTTGGAATCCAGGAAGCAGTGCCGTGATCTGCTTCTGTAAAGATAAAGCCAAGAAAACCATATGGAGCAATTCTACTCTGTAACACACAGGTCGCCATGAGTCAGAATCGACTCCATGCCAATGAGTTTGGCTTGGTTGGTGAATAAGCATGGGACTAAAGGTAGAAAGTTGTCACCCAGAGAGTAATTCCAACAGCTGGATCTGGAGGAGAGGGGGAGAGGAGGAGCTGGTAAGCCCTGGGGAGACCAGCCCTTCCTGACAGCAGCCTCCAGAGGGGCCAAGGTGTCTCTAGTGCAGATGCCAGGCTGGGAGATGAGTCAGTTGGGACTGTGTGGGGTGTGGCGAGTATAGCCAGCATTTAGCTTTTTGGGGCAATCACAGCAGAGTGGATAAGGGCCTCCTTCCACATACTGGGCTGGGCCTCCATGGGCAGGGCTGGTGCTGGACAGCCCTCACTCCCCAGCGTCTGGAGCGTGCTTCCCCGGACCTTGAGTTCCAGGGCATCCCCAGCCCATCCCTTGCCACAGCCTGATCCTCATCTCTGAGTCACTCTCTGATGAGGTCCCGTTTCCTGTCTGAACCCCACTATTAAGTGGAAGATTCCTTTGTGACTGTGTGCTCTTGTCCCCACCCCCACCACCCAGGAAAACTGCAGAGGCAGTAATGGGAAAGGTCAGGACCCCACTGCAGGCCCAGACCGGACAGAAAACTTAAGTCCCTTCTGTACCCCTGACCCCACCACGAACTGTCAAACTTCCATGTGCCCCTCACCACCCCTCAAACAACTACTTAACTATTGCCCTAAACTTGGGAGCTCAGGGATGGTTGACTCAGCTCCTCCCTCCTTCAGGGCTTCTAATTTTTTTTTTTTTTTTTGAGGAAGAGCTGCCATGGAAACTCACAAGCTTCTATTATTTCTTTAAATGCAAGTAGCACATGCTTGCTTTACAGACGTTAAGAAATACAGATGATCTAAAGAGAACTAGGAGTTCTGGTGGCATAGTGCCTAAGGCATTTGACTGCTAACCAGAAGGCTGGCAGTTCAAACCCACCAGCCACTCCTCGGAAGGAAGGTTGGGCAATTTACTTCCGTAGTGATACTGCCTCAGAAACCCAAGGAGGGGTGGCTATGAGTTGGATCTGACTCAACAGCAGTGAGTTTGATGTTTTTGTTTGTTTTGTTTTTTAAGAGAAAACTAAACATCCCACCCAGAAATGGACATTTTAGATCAAAAGAGCCATTTTCACATCACTGTTGGGTCTGACTCAACATCACATAACAACAACAACAATGGAATGATGGGCTTTGTGACATGCTCATTTCACCAACTCTCAGTGTTGGTCACTGGGACTCATGGTACCATGAATAATGCTTCCAGAAACAACCTCCACCCATTCAGCAATATTTCTAGATGACCTGCTCATCTGCAGGTGCCTTTCCAGGAACTGGGCATACAGCAGTTTACAAAACCAACAGAGACCTGTGTAGACACGTCTCTGGGCATATCCTTGCTTCTTTCTTTCATTTGATGACTAGAAGTGGAATTGCTGGGCCAAAGGGCACACTTTTGCTGGATTCACCCTCCCAAAGAATTGTGCCTCAGTAGGCCATGTGAGAGAGGGTCCAATACTGCCCTTCTAAAAGCCACCTTGGATGACGCCTGGCATCCTCTCTGCTCCAAATTGGCCAGGCAGACCTCAGAGGAAACTGGGAGGGCTAGCCTGATTCCTGGGCCTGTGTGTCTGGTGTTAGTCCCCTTGGCTAAGGGCTTCAGGAGGTGGCTGTGTTTTCCAGCCCAGGTCGGACTGCTGGCTCTTGGCATGGAATATCATTTTCTAAATTGGGGCCACTTTAGATAATTCAGAGACACTGTGGTTCCTCTCCCACCCTGCTGATTGGCAGCCCTCCGCAGGGAGATCCTGCAAAGAGGACCTGGGAGGATTGGGAAAGGCTGGGTAGGGCACTCACCTCACCCCAGGCCGCAAGGGCGGGTCTGGGCCAGGCCCAGCCCCGCTACTCTAGGCCACCGCCCCTGCCCTTCCTGCGCTCCGGGCGGGCACCCAGGTAGCTCCGGAGCCCAAACCTGTCTGGCCGGTTTTGATAGCCTGAGGGACCGACGGAGGAAGGCTGGCAAAGGATGCACGTCCTGCCTGGTGCTCCTCCTGCACACTCGGCCGCCTGACTTCGCTCCTGCCTGCCCCGCTGCCCACCTGGCCGACCCCATGACGCGCGCTTGGGGCCTCTCGGCGGCTTTGCTTGGCCTGGGTCTGGGGCTGGCCCTGAGCTTGCCGGGGTCCGGCGCCGCCGACTGCGGGACCCTGGGCCCGGCGGAGCGCTTGCCATTCGTCCCGACAGCCAGGTCCCGATGGCTGGCCCCTCGTGTCCGCGCTCAGGGCCCCTTGGACCCTCTCTACAGCACCGTGCGCCGCTTCCTCTCCGTGGTGCAGCTCAACCCCTTCCCCACCGGTGAGTGTGACTTTTCTCCCCTATGCCCCGACCCCGTGGGCTTTAGGAGGTATTGGGTTTCCAGACAGTCTCCCTTCTTTCCCTTCCACTGTGGGGTGCACCTACCCTGACAGCAGGCACTTGTTGGGCAGGGCAGCAGCAGCTCCCTACCCATATTTTCCTTCCTAGAAGTCCCTGTGTGCCAGGGACAGCACCTGGAGACCTTGCTGTGTGACCTTGGACAAGATCCTTTTCTTCTTGAGCCTCAGTTTCTTAGTCTGAGTGAAGGAGATTGCATTAGAAGTTCCCAAAGATGTGACTAAGACCTTCTCTGGGTCTAGTGGTGCTTAGGGTTGTGAGAAGGAGGGGCTACAGGATCCCTCACAGCCCTGTCCGCTGCCCACTTGAGAGGAAGGGCTGCTAGGTCAGGCCCCCTTTCTGCTTTCTCCAAGGCTGTGCCTTCCCTCCAAGGCTGCAGGGCCTATTCCCGTAGGGTCCAGGAAGGAGGTCTACCAGACCTCCCCTCAGCTGTTGCCTGCCATAGCAGCACTGTGGCCTGGGCAAGAGAGGAACGGGCCATAGGACACAGTGTTCTCTGAGGGAGCCATGAGCAGGAGGGGCCCACCTTGGCCTGGCAGTGGTGATAGGGGGTGTTAGACATAGGAGTAGGGCAGTTGCTGCCCCAAACCCCCAGCTTGGTTCTTTCCGGTAGAGTTGGTAAAGGCCCTGCTGAATGAGTCGGCCTCCTGGAAGGTGGATGAGGTAAGCCCTGGGGGAGATGCTGGGGGAGGGAATTTAGGGGTGAGCGTGAGGGGAGGAAGTAGAAAAGGCTTCCTTCAATCAGCTCAGCCCAGCCCACCCCACCTGGTTGGATGTCTGTCAGTGTGAGGGTCTCAGGCTGGCATCTTTCCCCATCTTCTGTGAGTGTTGCAGTTGGCAGGCCTGGGTTCAAACCAGAACTCTGCCATTCTCTGAAGTGGAGTTTGCAATTAGCCCTTAACTTCCCCAAACTTCAGTTTCCTCATTCTTACTTATAATGGTAATTAATAATAAGGACCTTGTCCACCACTTGTGAGGGTTTAGCCAGATGCATGCAAAAAGGTCTGCCACTTTCTCTCTGCAGTAGGAGGTAGTTGGGGCTGGGATATGGGGATCAGGGCAACCCTTCATGCCTTGCTGCCCGGCCTAGGTGGTCCGGTACGAGGCTGGCTATGTGGTGTGTGCCGTGATCACAGCCCTCTACTTCTTGGTGGTGCCCATCACCGGACTCTGTTTCTGTTGTTGCCGCTGCCGAAGGCGCTGTGGGGGCCGTGTGAAGACAGAGCACAAGGCTATGGCCTGTGAGCGAGGCACCCTCATGGCCTTCCTGCTGCTGACTACCCTCGTGCTGCTGTAAGGGAGTGCCTAGGGCAGATGGGAGGGTGGGCTGTGGGCCCAGTTGCTCACAAGCAACCAAGGAGCTCCTTTTGCCTCCCCTGTGCCCTCCATGCAGGATTGGTTTGGTCTATGCCTTTGTCACCAACCAGCGAGTGCATGAGGAGACACGCCCCAGTGTTGAGGCTGTGCCTGAGGCTCTGCTCAGTCTCCAGGGCCTGGTCTCTGATGTCCCTCAGGTAAGCTCTGATTAATCTCTTCACCTAACTCACCCCCCTCAGCACCAGGCCAGGCAGGACAGAGTAGAGTGGGTCCTCTGCTAGCCACTGTGCAAATTAGAAAGGGGATGCCTTCCTCCGTGCCCATGACTGCCATCTGGTGGAAAGTGTCTGTAATGGAGCAAACACAACTTTGGTGTCCTCCGGATGGATGCTTGGGGAAGGGGGAGGGCTCTCAGGTGACAAGGAAGGGCAGCCTCACGGCCCCTTGTGTTTGCTTAGGAGCTGCAAGCAGTGGCACGGCAGTTCTCCCTTCCTCAGGAGCGAGTCTTGCAGGAACTGGATGGTGAGGGTGATAGCTAGCTGGCCAGCTGGCCAGCCTTAGTGGCTCCTTGCTCAGGCCTGCTTTGGGGGGACCCTCTTATTCTCTCACCTCTCACTCCCTCTGGGAACATCCTCACAGAGGCAAGGATGGGCCCAACTGCGAGCAACCAGGGAACCAGAGATGGGCCTCTGCTGCAAAATGGCACCAGCACCCACCCTGTGGAGCTCAGCACTGGGGCCTGGGGAGGCTGGGGGGCATATGGGGAATACCCCCCTTAAGCTCCTAGAGGGCCAGCCCTGCAGACTGCCCCTTGTGTTCTCCAGGTATCGGTGTGAGCATCGGGAGCACTATACACACCCAGCTCAGGAGTACTGTGTACCCATTGCTGGCATCAGTGTTCAGCCTGGGCCAAGGTAAGCCTGGCCAGCACCTGGCGTGGGTGTGGCCTGAGCAGGCATCTCTCTGGGGGCAGGCCTCACCCTCAGCCAACCCTGGATTTCTTGTGCTGCCTTAATCAGCCCCACCCAGGACTTTCCATCTGCATTATCCTAAGTTCCCAAATCCTGTGGCATCCCTGCCCACATCCTGGCTTACTTGCTCTGGAGCATTTGCCTTTAAAACTAAAGAGGCTCAATGACTGCACATCCCTTTGGTTGGGGGTGAGTAGGGGGTTCTGTCTCTCCAAGGCTCTGAGGATGCTGAGAGCAATGGTATCTGCTCAGTCTGGATGTGGGTCTCTTAGCCTGGCAGGTCTCTGTGGACCACCTCCAAGTCCTGAACGCTACCTCAGTGGAGCTGCAGAAGGGGCAGGAAGAGCTGGAGCCTGTCATTGTGAAGCGCCGGGAACACCTCCTGACCCTGCTGCAGGAGCCCAGCTGCCAGGGCTGCTCTGGGGCCATGAGCCAGGCCCGTGCCCTGGAGCTGGGCTCTGACTTCAGACAGGTGCAGGCCTAGGACACAGGCCTCTGGGAGCTAAGGGGGGCCACTCTGCCTGCTGCCTAGGAACCCTGGACATCTGAGTGGTCCAGTGTTTCCTGAGGAAGACTCCCAGCTGCCTTTCCTCTGACTGCTCGATTCTCCCCTATCTCCACATACCCAGTGTTCATGATAGACATCCTTGGGCCAAGCCCTGTGCCACAAGCTCCACGTGTATTAACTTCTTGAGTTCTTGCTGTAATCCAGGGAGTAGGGGCTATGGTGGTGTCCATGTTACACATGAAGGCTCTGAGAGTTCAGACACATCCACTGTTCCCATCCTCCCCCAGGAGTCTCTTTCCGGCCTCTCTGTGGACTTTGTCATAACACCCCTATTTCAGGTGCCCCCTGTGGATGATGTGCTGCATCGGCTGAAGGATGTTCCAGAAGCCAACTTTTCCAGCATGGTCCAGGAGGTGAGGTTCCTTGCCCTCTGCCATTACCTCACTCTTCCCTCAACTGCCTAGGAACTTGCTTGCCAGTGAGGGGCCTCAGTTTCCCCCTTTTAGGGTAGGAAGCCAGTCGAACTCAAGATTTGCATCCAATCAGGGCCTTACCTACCACTTTGCTGGAGGCTCATGATGCCTACCCTCAAGGCACACAGTCTGGTGGGAAAGGCAAGAAGCAGGCATGAAACTTGGAAAGATCCAGAGTCCTTATGGGATTGAGGTCTGGGAAAGAAAGGGAGAGAAGAGGGCACTGAAGCCCAGCTTGGAGCACAGGAAGCTCTGCGTGGGTGGAGATGGACTATGGGGTGGAGGAGGGGGCCCAGTATGACTCAGCACCCATGACCCGAGGTCTGGAAAGTGCCTGGCATGGGGGAAATGGTGAGTCAGCCATGCTGGGTGACTGGAGCGGAAGGTTCAGGGAGAAAGGAAGTAAGAGATGAGGCTGAAAGGGGAAGCTAGACTTGGATCATAGAGAGCCTTGAATGTCACTAAGGAATGTAGTTGTTCCTCTTTGAGGAGCTGATGAAGGGTTCTGAGCAGTGTGGAATATGACCGGAGCTGGGCGTCAGGAATGTAGACCTAACAGTGGTGTGTGGGGTGGATGGGAGTTTACTAGGCAAGCAGTAGCCCGGGATAGAAAGGAAGGATCTGCAAGGAGTAATGTTTTGGGGAGTTGAGTGAGGCTGGGCTGAGAGAGTGGGGGTCAGTGACCAGGAAAATAAAAGGAAGTCTGTTCTTTGAGCTGGAAGCACTGAGGAAGGATTTCCTCCTTCTGGGCCTGGTGGCTTTGGGGTCTCCTGAGTGGGGGAACCAGGGCGGAGAGTGGGAGGCACAGCCCTGCTTGGTTCCTGCAGGAGAACAGCACTTTCAACACACTCCCCCTCCTGGCTGCCATGCAGACGACTGACATGGTCAAAGGTGAGACCCTGCTCTGTGTGCCTCCCTTCACCACCCTGCAAAGGGGCCGTGCTGAGGGAAGAGTGGGGCAGCGGCCTCTCTCTTGGGACTGTCTCAGAGTACTGGCTGAGGAGTCTTGTCAAAACAAGGTTTCTGGGTGGAGGAGGTGAAAATTGTCCTTCTTGGCTGGGCCCCACCAGAGCGGACCCTCCCTGTGGATCTCAGATGTTCTTCCTGCCCACCCTTCTTCCCTTCCGCATCCCATAAATACTCACTGCTTTGGGCAGAGCTGAAGAAGGCAGTGGCTCAGGAGCCCAAGGGGGTAAGGACACTGGCCGAAGGGTTCCCGGGTTTGGAGGCTGCCTCCCGCTGGAGTCAGGCCCTGGAGGACATGGAACAGAGTAGCCGATCCTACCTGCAGGAAGTGCAGAGATATGAGAGATACAGGTGCCTGGGAACCCATGGGGTGGGTGATAAGACCATCTAAGCCTCTCAGCCTCTGTAGACCCAAATTCCAACCCCCAGTTATACTGCGGGTCTGTCTCCAGTTAAGCCAAGACCCTTTACCTTTAAGGATTGCATGCCCCTTCTTGGCTGTGTGCCCTTGAAACCTGAGTCTGGGGACCCTATTGGAGCAGTGAGGCTCAGGAACTGTCCACATGTACACTTCCATAGCCCCAGCCTTGGGGGTAGCAGCCTCCCCTAGTCCCCGCTTCCCCCTGTGTCTTTTACCAGCCCACCTCAGTGCCCAGCTACCTTCCTTCTTGCTGACATCCCCACCCTCTCTGTGGCAGGTGGATTGTGGGCTGTGTGCTGTGCTCCGTGGTCCTGCTTGTGGTAGTCTGCAACTTGCTGGGCCTCAGCCTGGGCATCTGGGGACTGTCTGCCAGGGAGGACCCCAGCCACTCGGAGGCCAAGGGCGAGATTGGAGCCCGCTTCCTCATGATGTAAGAAAGGGCTGCAGAGAGGGGAAGGATGTCTCCTTACTGTACTGGTCAGATTCCTCTCCCTCCCATGGACAGCTCCTGGTATGACCATAGAAACAGTGTCCTGGGACAGAGTCAAAAGACTGGATTCTAGTGCTGGCTCATATACCAACTTGCTGGGCGACCTTGGGCCAATTGCTGATCCATCTGAGCTTCAATGTTCCCCATCTGTATAAAAGGGTTGTACTAGAGCAGGAATGGTAAACAAGGACCACTTCCCTCTTCTACACCAGTGCCGACTACACTAATCTATGGGTACTCTATCTCACTAAGCCCAGACACAGCTTCAGAATCTTTCTTAACCTAGCATCCAGTAGCACCAGAGGTGGAATCTATTTGCCATTCCTGCACTAGATGGTCTCTAATTGCAGGCTGTTTGCTGCACGAAGGTGTTTGGCCAGAGTGATAAGTGGGTCCTGAAATCCAGGCCATGTTCCACTCTTCAAGCCTCCAATTCTGGCTGTGCCAGTCTCATGAAGAAGTGCTATAGGCCAGTGGCACCCTGTCTGAGGGTCTGCTTTCCAGGATGTCATGAGGCTAGGCTTGGTGGCCCCCATGAGGGCTGGGCTCAGAGGTAGGCAATCCTGGCTCTTCAAGTAAAACAGCTGCCCTGTCCTTTCGGCTGCCAGGGCCAGCCAGGCACAGGCGACAAGGTGGAGTTGACAGTCAAGAGTTCTGAGTTCTCCCTCCTGCCAGGAGGCTGGGTCTTCTGAGTTCCTTTTCCCAAAGGGTTCTGCCTTGAGGCCAACTCTGACCATACCCTGGGATGAAGGAGGGACAGAGGGTGTGGTCCAGGTTATGAGACCCTCTCCCCAGTCTCCTTTCTCCCCACTCAAACTTGTCCTTTCCTTTTCCCAGGGGCGTAGGCTTCAGCTTCCTCTTTGCAGCACCCCTCATCCTCCTTGTCTTTGCCACCTTCCTGGTGGGTGGCAACGTGCAGACACTGGTGTGCAGGAGCTGGGAGAGTGGGGAGCTCTACGAGGTGGGCCTGGCTTCACTCCAGGGCCCAGGGTGGAATATGATGTGGGGAAAGCAAGACTGTTGGGAGGAACTCAAGGGGGCTGGAGAGAAGAGGGAGCCAGACGGGCCAAGAGGCAGAGAGGGACAAAAGGAGTGAGGACAGAGGTGGCCAGGAAGAGCCCAAGAGAGAAAAGCCTCCAGTGCATTGGCATAGAAGGGCAAGAGAGCCTGTGAGTCCTGGGGCTGCTGCAGAGTGTGCTGAGGAGTGGACCCTGAAGGATTGCAGCCAGGCCTGATCCTTCTCCTCTCTCAACACTGGGCTGGGAACCCTGGCTCCCCATGTGTTTTCATAGGCCAACTGAGATGCTGGCTTGGGTTTTGTGCCAAAGGTCATGCTGGCCACCTCTCCTAGAAATTCGTGGGAAGAGTCCTCATAAGAACTTACAGCCCACTGGTCATTTGATATAGAGGCCAGGTTAGGGCTGGTGTCACAGAGGTATTCCCCACCCCTGGTCTCTGCTGTGCTAGGGTGGCATGGAGCTAGGCCCTAAGGGAGCTGGGTGGCCTTGCCTCTGCCTGCTCCAGCCCCATTTCTCCCTGCCTCACCACCAGTTTATAGATACCCCAGGGAACTTGCCCCCATCCATGAACCTGTCTCATCTTCTTGGCTTGAAGAAGAACATCAGCATCCTCATGGCCTATCAGTGAGTGGGAAGCCTGGTCTGAGGTGTAAGGAGGGGCTAGTGGGGACGAGCAAATGTGGGTGTACATGCAGTTAGGGTTATCCCCCACCTGCCATCCTCCTTGCTCAACTTTACTGCCCATTACTCTTCCCCAGGCAGTGCAAGGAAGGGGCCGCACTCTGGAGTGTCCTGCAGCTCAATGATTCCTATGACCTGGAGAAGCACCTGGATATTAGCCAGGTAGGAGAGACTTCGGGAAGGCTGTGGGGGACCCTCCTACAGATCCCCCTTCCTCTGGTCTTGCCTTTAGGGAGGCATGGCTCCTTGAATCTAAGAAGTCTTCATGTCTAATTGAGGTGCCTCAGGGGCAGAGGCCCTGGCCACAAGCTTAGGGCCTGGCCTGGGGCTAGAGCCCAATGAGGGTTCCATGGTGGGTGGGTGGGTGAGTAAGTACCTGGAGGCTGTGACCAGCTCTGAGCCCTAGGAGAAACTGAACACAGCTGAGGTTGTAGCAGGAAAGGATGGTGACAGTGATGGTGACTAGGGGTGTGTGTGTGTGTGTGACTGAGGGTAGGATGTCCAGTGGGGAGTGGGGTGGCTGGGCAGGGTGTGGCAGTGATAACAGTGGTAATGAAGTTGTGTAACATTAGCAGAGGGCTCACCACAGGGGCCTTGCTGAGATCACACAGCCAGTAGGTGGTGGAGGCAGGATTTTACCCCACTCAGCCTGACTCTAGAACCCAGACTTTGGTGTATGGAACTGGAGAATTGTTGATGCTGGCTACAGACAGTTCCCAAGAAGAGACATACTTTGAGAATGTGGTTGTCCGAGGGGTGTACAGGATTTGTAAGACATTCTCACCTTTCCTCTCCACTCCCAAGTGAGATGAGAGGGAGGTGGCTTGATTCCCAGGGTCCCCAGAACCTCTCCATTCCCGAGCATGTCCTGGGTAAATCCACATTTCCTTTGACACATAGAGCATGTTAACTCCTGATTCTGTATCATCCCAAGAAGTCTTCCACCTTCTCTTGGGTCCACAACCCATTCTCAGCCCATAGCGAAGCACAGCCTAATGGTTGCAGGTTTCAATCCCAACTCCATGCTCAAACTGTATAACTTCAGGCACTTTGCTTAATATTTTGCTCCTCATTTAGCATCTTTGACCAGATGTGAGGTCTGTGGAGCAGGCACTATCCTGGCCAGAGGCACTGCCTCATTGAAGGCTGGCCAGGGAGAGCAGCAGCAGGGGCCTTGGCAGAAGAGGCCAGGGAGTCATGGCTCACAGGCTGACAGAGGCATCAGCCTGAGTTCTGGGAGGGGAAGATCTAGATCACAAAAGAGTCTGCACAGATATGGCTTCAGGTTTAGATGAACAGGAAGTCCTCGGAGGGCATTTGGTGACATATCTAATGTGACCATAGGAATTCTTATTCTGAAAAGATATGTTGTTGTTGTTGTTGTTGTTGTTGTGTGCCGTCGAGTCGGCCCCGACTCATAGCGACCCCTCCTTGGGTTTCCGAGGCAGTATCACTACGGAAGTAGGATTGCCCAACCTTCCTTCCAAGGAGTGGCTGGTGGGTTTGAACCGCCAGCCTTCTGGTTAGCAGTCAAGTGCTTTAGCCACTATGCTACCAGAGCTCCTTGAAAAGATATAGTAATATATAAAAAAGATATAGTAATATAGTAATCCAGAGATAGGCCTAGGCCGGGGGTGTCCCTGGGTAGCATGGTTAAGCATGCAGCGGTACCTCAGAAGAAAAGCCTCACTATCGACTTCTGAAAAATCAGCCATTGAAACATTGTGGAGCACAGTCCCACTCTGACATGCAACGGGTTGCCATGAGTCAGAATTGACTCAAAGGCAACTGTATATGTGTGTGTGTATACAGATACATGTATGTATCTGTATATACATATATACACATGTGTATGAAACCAAACTCAACTGCCATCGAGTTGATTCTCACTCATAGTGACCCCCATTGTGTTTCTGAGGCTGAAATCTTTATTTTTTAAATTTTTTAATTGTGATTTGGGTGAAAATTTATACAGCAAATTCACTTTCCATATAGCAGTTCATGTACACTTTGTCTCATGACATTGATGATAATTTACCACAATGCAACAGCTCCCCTCCCACTTCTTCCCGATAGTTACCTCTTCCCTGTGCCCATCCCTCCATGCACTCCTGCCCCCTGAGCTGTCTCCCTGTGCATAAGCAGCCCTTCTTTCTCCCATGATTGT